CAATCATTTTAATAAATAATAGTTTGCAATATAATATAGACAATGTTGGCTACAAATAAAGTAAACAAAATATGCCAAATATGTGGTGACAATAAAGGAGTTGGTATGTATGAACTCTAATTTAAATGTAATTTAATTAAATTATTAACTGTGCCTGTTTATATTTAGGTAGAAACTTCTTTGCCATTACATGTAAATCGTGTAAAGAATTCTTTCGGAGGACTGCCGTCAAAAATACAGTAAATAAAAGAGATTTGAAATTAATTTAATAATTTTTAAAATAAATAATTAATTATACATTGATTGCAATCATAGCCACTCGAGTGTCCATTGGAAGGCAACTGTCATATAAATTCAGTGACGAGAAAGTTATGTCAAAAATGTCGACTAAAAAAATGTTTTGATATCGGAATGAAAAAAGTATTATATTATACTGGTATTCATTATATTACTTATAATTTATAATCAATTGTTTTGATAATTTAGGAGTTTATCAGAAATGATGAGCAAAATAGGATACGAAGACAATTAATCCGAGAAAATAAACTCAAACAAAATGAATGCAATGAAAGCGACAATTCTGTGGACACTTCCAGTGATAACAAAAATAGTGAACTAGTTTTACACAAAGACTTTTTACACGATATAATTGCCAACACATTGGAGTTGAGTGATGAAGACCTGACGGATCGGATCTCAGAGATTGAGAGTTATGTCACAAATTGTACAGAAATACAGAAATCTAGTCATGAAAATGAGTTATCATTGGATAGACTAATGGAGAAATCGCACACATTTGCCATCAAACCTGTATTCCGTGAACTCACTGATTATAATGGCTTAAATCAACTTGANGTTATGTCACAAATTGTACAGAAATACAGAAATCTAGTCATGAAAATGAGTTATCATTGGATAGACTAATGGAGAAATCGCACACATTTGCCATCAAACCTGTATTCCGTGAACTCACTGATTATAAAGGTTTAAATCAACTTGAATTCAGCCGGATATCCGAGTTGTTAAGCGCCACCACTATATTGAAGTCATCCACGACTAAGAATATTCTTGAAGTGAAAGATGATATTCAATTAAGACTTTGTATTTTACAGAGANAATTCAGCCGGATATCCGAGTTGTTAAGCGCCACCACTATATTGAAGTCATCCACGACTAAGAATATTCTTGAAGTGAAAGATGATATTCAATTAAGACTTTGTATTTTACAGAGATTTGAGAAACATATCTCAAATTTTCTAAATTTCACACAAATGTTGAATTCATTCACAACTATCTGTTCCGACGATCAGTTTTCGCTCATCAAGAATGGCGCCATTGAAATGATCTTGCTCAGATTTTTGACATATTTCAATAAAAGCAATTATAGTTTTACTGTTCACTTGGTAATATTTATATACTTCATAAATTAACAACATTTAATTAGACCTGTTTTGTAATCAGGATAACGACAGTACATTTGTGTTTAGTTTGGATTTACTTAAGAATAACAAAAGGAACATGTTCGATTTAAACTCAATGTTTTATACCAACTTGCTAACGGAGTGGGATCACGACCTTGTTGTTATTGATTTGGTATTGATTTATAATTTTAATTAATTAATTTAGTAATAATCATCATATTTTTCAACACTAGTTAACAGCAATCATACTGTTTAACCCAAACCGGCCTAACTTAAAGCACAGGCATTATGTCAAGTATATAATTTTATACTTTTATAATTTTATAACCTTTAGTATATAATTTGATTTAGCTTGGTATAATTAATGAATTATTTTTGTTTGATAGGCTGGAACAGCAACTGTATATATATTTATTACAACGATATTTGCTATTAAAACATAAATCCGATTCTGAATCGCAAACAAAATTACAGCGATTTATGAATTCCCTGAGAGAACTACAGGTCGCGAGTGAAGTCCATAAAGTGAATGAAGGTGAGGATATGAAACCATATATCCATTCCTGTGGACCACTATATAAAGAAATCTATGACTTATAAACTAGATATTAAAAATCATAGTTGCATACAATTTTATTAAATACATTCTACTAATAAACTTAAATGTAATTCAATCAATCAATTTATATTATATTGTAATGTTATGAACGGGAATTTTCACTACAACCTAAAGTTTTCATACAATTTGATGGTTTAGAAATTTAATTGATTTAATGAGTTTGATGTCTATTCTTAAACTTTTCATTTTATTTGTATTGTGTTGAGACATGTCATTGAAAACAGGTTTATGTGAACAAATACTGTGGTTATTCAGATTGCAAAGTTTTCAAGTCAACTTTCATTTTTACAATGAAATTTAAACCAAGATTATTAATTTATTCATATTCTATTCTAAATACAGTACTAAATCATTTTAAATGTCTATATATAAGGGAATGGACATAATATTTTTCGTATTTTGTCATGTGTCAGTAAATTATTTTTAATTTATTTTCTATAACTGCTATTGAATCACACAATGGCTCAAAAGTTTCTCATATTATTAGGCTTCAATTGAGTGAATTTAATTTTTTATTAATTTTACATTTTACCTAGACAATTTATCTTCTAAAACTTACTAGTACATTCAAAAAATTATAGTCAAATTTAAAATTGGCGCCATTTTATTATTACATTAGATAATTTTAGTCTGTAAACTGTCTAATGATCAGAAATATATGCACTTTCAAATGACATATTGATCACCTTGATGCGCCAATTATCACTGTACAATATAATGGTTAATTGGCTATAGGTCAACATTTGGGGTCAAAGGTCACCACCTTGATTAAATAAAAATGTTTTATAATGGATTTTGTAGTAGAGATATAGACCTTTAAAATGATATATGAATC